ACATTTTCGGTTTTTCGCCGATATTTCCAAAAACCAATTGACGCATCGTCAATCTGAAGCCGGCTATCGAATGCGCAAAGTTCCCTCTAAAACTTTCCTTATCTAACATTTGTTGTAGGTATGACAGATCGCTGTATAGGGAAGCAAATCTGGGACACACTGTATACACATTGGCGGATCCTTCATTATAGTTACCTTCGGGCTACATCTATTTGTGGTTATCTTCACCGTTGTCAAGTTTCCAAAAAGCGGCTTAGCCTCCTGTTGGATAGTCGCAACCACTACAAGGTCAATTATCAATAACTTCTGAAAGGGACAATTCAAATAAAACCCCAATTTTGATGTAAAGTGTGTATATTTTTCATAATTATACAAACACGGTTAAATCAATACAATATGTATTTCTCATGGCACATATACAAAAATATTTGGAAAAATCATACAAATCAAAAGGAAGACAGAGCAAAATAAGTTTCTTACCTAAAATCGGAGTATTTACATTATGATACACGTTGAGTATAGTAGGAAATATGATACAGCTATCGTATGTTTTACAAAAAACATGATTATAGGTATGAACATGTTGGAACAGAGGCGATGAAGCTGAAACGTTAAATGTACAAAATATAAATAAACGCTTCATTAACTAGAATGTACACGGCAACATAGGTCTTTGGAAGATAACAGTTTTAGCTACTCAAACATAAATTTCTATGTCGGAATTACTTCCATAATGTTTCAGATCCTGTTAGACTACTAGACATTGATTGAATTTGCGCGTCGTCACTACTCTACTTATCATTATACTTCATCACCTGTTAGGCCATAACTATTCGTTCAGAATTTAGGCCTTTGAAACCAAATCGAAACCTCAAAATAATCGGACCCTAGTTCTATAAATCTTTACAGTTCTTAACTGATATGTATACAAAATGATACAATACGTAAGCACTCATTGATATTACTCGCAACTTTTTACAAATTACAGCAAGTAAAACCGACTTATCATATATCATCAGCCATGTAAATGTGCAATCAGTTCAATTTTGTGCTACGATCTTTACACAACATTCTGTACTCCTTATTTAAATTCAGGAATTTTTAGATATACACTACCGTTCAAAAGTATTTGGACACCTGCATATTTCCATCTAAAATCATAACAAACAAACAACTGTTTGGTACGTATTTATTTTCTTTTATTTATGGAAATCAAGCATCATTGAAATTAAAATTTTGCTCACACTATTATTGGGAACTCACCATTAGCCATAATAGGAATTTCTTTGCCTTTAGAATATTGTTATGTTTTTTATAGGAATCCTTTCTCAGGATTTGTTTGTCGAATATTTATTTTAATTTGTTTTGCACGTAAACCCATAACATAGTTTTACTTCAGTTATCTTGTCTCAGTTGATGAACTAGCCGTGCTTCAATACCATGTAGTTACAGATTGTTTAACAAGTGAGTTCTCGTTTCTCTTTTTCTGGACAAAATGAGTAAAACTAAAGAATATCCCAAGGAGATAAAAGGAGTTATTATTGGTCTTCATAAATCCGGCAAAAGTATTCGAGAAATTTCTAAACTTCAGAAGGTACGACCGTATTCTGTACTAACAATGCTCATAGCCGTCGCTCAGGGACACCCAGAGTTACAACTTTCACTGGAGATTTAAGCACAATAGTGAAAAGTAAACGCAATAGACTCATGACTGCACCCGAAATAGCAGCGGATTTGAATGTGGGCCAAACCTGTAAGTATGACTACATGTAAGAGAAGGCTACTTGAAGCTGGATGCACTCCTCAAATATACTAACAAAAAAAAATATACTGAATTAGGCCAAATTACATGAAAATTGGACCATTGACAGCTGGAAGAAGGTCCTCTGGAGCGATGAATCGAAATTTAAAGTTTTTGGTTCCAAGAGTATTTGAAGAGCAAAAATGCGAAAGCCGATAAATCCACTTTTATGATTTTTGAGTTACGCATGGAATTCGGTCAATTTCGATATGCTCTATCCATTTTTAAAGGCAGGTATGAGCAAAAGTCGCTAAATTATTGAAACAAGTGAAGGGAATTTCCAACACGAAAAAGATTTCTTGATAAAATTTTATCATGGAACCAAAATAAAAATCTGCACTTTTCCAAACTATCGGCTTGTTACTGAGCAGGAAAGGTATGAAATTCTCCTGAAAGTGAAAAAATGTGATAGCGACCTAGCTTTGAGAGAGGTAAAGTTGGCCCGGGCCATACCAGAAAAGAAAAAGAAGTATTTGATGGCTCATCAGATTGGAAAAGTGTAGAAAAACTCAGATGGTACAAAATGCTTTTAGATGACCCTTCTGAAGAAGCCGACGCAAAAGAGGCTAATGAGAGAATTTACTAGTGTCTCGAGGAAGAAACTGCCTTTTATATCTAGTTATCTTTTTCTTTATATTTTCTTTGAGTGTTCGTATTACTTTTAGTTATTACTCGTATATTAACAATAATATATAGAGTTTGGTGTTAATTTTTTTCAGAAATTATTCATGTTTTGTTTCTTTTTTTATAAAATGCGTTAAAAATAAATGTTTTTTAGTGATGATACCAGTTTTGGAGAATATAGTACAATTAGCATATTTATTTAAAAAAACCTGTATGTATTTTCCGCCAGCGGTTGGTAAAGATATTCTAACACTTAATATGCTGCATTAGGAATTTCAAAATGTTTTAAATTTGACGGGCATTTTTCTATACACGTGTTTGCCATTTTTCTCAGAAAAATCATAAATAGTCGTATGTTGTTAAGAATTAAGACAATAACATTTTCTTTAATAACTTTCATCCGTTTCCTTGTTTTCTGGGTGTTCAAATACTTTTGAACGGTAGTGTACCACAGCAATCCTTTGCGGCATGACAAAGTTCTGCGCTCTGCTGTTGACCTTGTCTGGCAAATCAAAAAATATGTATATCCCTGATGGTATAGTAGAAGTCCACGCTTTTAGATTCGTTTACATTCTTTGCCGATAGTCATAAAACGGAACCGGAGGCATGAGGACAGAGACGGATCTGAAAATTTTCAAACATTTTCTCTTGCAAGTCTGGATCACTTCAACTCGTTGAAGTAACGTGATTATTATGGGTTTCAAATTTCTGAAATGTCCACAGGGAACAACTCTCACCTCTTTTCATCAATCCTCGATGTAGCATCTCTACTGTGGGAATTTCATTACGTTTATAATGATCATACACCATGTTCCTTATTTTGGCAGTTGGTGCTGCACTTAAAGGTATAGACATCCCCTTGTCAATTCTTCTTTTTCTTGGTTTGGCACCGTTACAAATTGTAGTATATGGCACGTTAGTCAGTTCGGCTGTTTTTTGAAGGACACTACTATTGTCGCTATCACCCATTTCACGTAACAGTCCATTATAAACATTAATGCATTTGAGCATCAACAGACAGGCACATTCTTTTAGAAATACGACGCGGTATTCCTGACTGTCATTGCTGCTCTCGTTACTACTATCAGTATCATGCACACTGACCCAGATCGTTCCCAGGGGCGGGCAAAATTCATATCGCACATAGTTATTATTCAAGACTTCGTCCGTCAATCTCATAGAACTGAAAATATATTCCCGAGTACCGCTCTGTTGCATCGCGCTGATTCACCTGCTTGCGGGGCTCGGGATGGGAGTGGAGGGGTTCAGGTCTTCATAGCGCAGTCACATTATGTGAAGTTGTTGCTATGACCGTATCGAAACAATGCGATTTTTTATATTCGCTACATTCAAACCAATGGTATCGAACTAATTGGGCTTTTTAGATTATTGCACATTGCTCATATACAGATGAACCAGATTCCATTATTATTTATACCGCATCATATAATGACCGTACTATATGGTAGGAAGCAGAAAAAAATGTAAACAAATCTAAAAGCGTTGTCGTCTACTATAGAACCATGTTATTAACGCCAATCGAACCACAACTCAAACACGTGGAGGTTCAGTATGCCCTCATGGATTAGGCGGTCGGTATCGGAGTATAACAAGTTCAATAACAGAACAACATAAAAAATATATTTTAGTCAAGCAGTTGATAGAAAAATACTGTTGTTTATTAAAACAATCATACTTTAATAGCAGTATAGCTGAGTGGACGATGATAATATTCTACATCTTATCACTTATTTAACAATGTAGTGACTAGACAACCTCGAACTATCACGTTCGATGAAACTGAAACTGTTGAAGAGACGTTTTTTGAGCAATACGATTTTCGTAAAATAGCAAATACCCTAATTTTTGTGAGATTTGCTAATAAACAGTATTGGAAACTATCATTTTAAATGCCAATTGGTGTGTTGGGACACAAGTGCGTGTGAGATTTTTCACCTAACACCATAGATCCAATTGTATGTCGACTATTTGTAACGGCTCTGAGAGGTTAGATGCAAAAGAGACAAACACAGAGACAAATATTCTGGAAAAAGTTCAAAAATGTCGGCCGAATTTGCCATATTTATACACAGGGTGTCCGGTAAATAGTACGACCAGAAAATCGAGGCAGATCTACAACATACGAAAAAATGACCATGGTAAAAGTTTCAATGTTTTCGAGATATTATTTTTTTGCCTATTTCGGAAAATTTCCTCGTTTGATCTACCCTTTGTTGCTGATTAAGCCGGTAATATATCGCAGTCCTTTGCAATGGCACTCTGGTAATTTTTTTTTCATTGCTGAATACCAAAGTTGAGTAAAGTAGTTTTCTGAAATAAAAATTACGAAGAAGAAATTAGTTTGTCAAGTTACCTACTTGTATTTATCGAAAATGATATTTCAAATGGCAGACCAACTATTTGAGAATATTTTTCAAAAGAACCAAACGGATATCCTATTATTTCTAGGCACAGCAACAAAAGATAGATTAAAAAAAGAGAGACAAAAAAATTATTATCTCAAAAACAGTGAAGGTTCATTTTTTGGTATGTTGTAGATCTGCTCTTCGTCTATCGTCCCTCTTTTTTTGTCGTACTATTTACCGGGCACCCTGTGTAGGACATTACATAATGGTGTCAGAAAAAAATGTATACTACTGGTTTGTACAAAATAAATGTCGTTATCTCAAAGCCATTTTCATCCCGTTCCAAAATTCTCTTGAGTTTCGCGTTACGTTCGCGACCCAGATCGATTACCATGTTTTAATAATGAAAAAGAGAGTAGCCGGTAGGTTAATGAAATAATTTTTATATCTAGAATGGTGTGGCTGAAAATAAAAACCAGTTACTGATAATAACTTTTTCTAAGAAACGGTGGCTTTATCGCTAGATTTGGCAACACCAACGTCATTGACTCTGATGCTTCAAAAAAATGAATCATCTTTGGTAGTGCATTTTCATGTACCGAAAATCTCAATATCTCAGTTCTGTCTTCGAGACATCTAAGTGGACTGATACGGAAATGAACGATTCCCGTACCTACGTTTATATAGCCTTTTTTCAAATTTTAACGTGAAATTCAATTTTAGTAACAACACAGATGTTTCACCCTGTATCGCTTCACTATCACCGAGTTATAAAGCGACACTTTTGAATAAAGACTTCTATTAATTGACATAGTTACAATGATTTACTAAAGCAACTATAATACGTTTCTGGAGTCCAATCTAGGACCACTTCTTTTGCATCTAACTTCGGCCGAACCATAATACCTATCCCACTTCTGATCTACAAAACCCACTACAGCATATTCCCTGTTTCCGACCGCGTTCCCTGATAAATGCTGATCGGAGGCGGCGGTGGAGGCGTCCCGAAGCTGCTCATCGACGGTGCTGCTGCCCCATTGACGCTCCCCGACCTGTCATAATTGGCGCTTCGCCACGAGCCGCTCGCAACGCCACCCGGCGGCCCTACTCTGGCGTACACGCTACCGTTGGCACTAGATGGCGACACCAGTTCCGGAGGATGGTGATTGGCTCTGTCTCTGTCTCGCTTAGGTCGGCGTAGCGTGTGAGTGGGGGAAAAGTAGGAGTCTGAGTAGACCTTCCGGTTGTAGTAGCCTCCGTTCAGGGAGGGGTAAGGGGGGTCGTCTGCGCCGTGGGCTGAGGCGCTGCTGGATTGGGCGAAGTTTGTCCAGAGCTGGAAAAATAAAATTAGGAGTTAGGTACGGTATACGAGCCCCTTTCCTCTTCAGTTGGCCCAACTATAGAAATCTTAGTTTTTTTCTTACCAAACACAAATAATAAAAATATAGCAGGCTGTTATAAGTTTAAAATATTAACAATGAATATTTTGATAATATATAGTAGAAAATACCAACTTTATCACTCCCTAATCAAATTTGCAGCATAAAAATAACACATGTTGCAATTACAGCATATCAACCTATTTTCATTTCAATGGAAAATAAGTCTATAACGCATAGGTGGCTGTGAAAAATAAAAGCCATGACAATTGTTTTTATTAATCACAGCTGTCAGAATACGTTTAAAATAGTTTTGGGTAGTTAAGGTTTTCAAAATGGGTAGAGGAAAGCTTATAATTGAGAAAATTCAGTTACTGATAATTAATTTTTTTAATTCTGGGAAATCAAACTCAGAAATTGCAACTTTGTTAGACTTATCGCGGTACAGTGTGAGAAATATTGTTAAGATATAACGTAACTGGTTCAGTTAGTATTAAGCCACGATATGTGAAAAAAAGTAATATCACAAATGCCGACCGAAGAGCATTAAGAAGAATAATCGTGAAAAACAGGCGTGTCAATTATTTACAATTAAGTGCTCTGTGGAGTGACGCTGTTGGAAGGAGAATTTTGAGGTCCAGAACTCATAGACATCCCCACAAACTGGGATTTAGCACTTGCAAGGTAAGTTTTCTTATAAATAAAAGTGAAGTAAAAACCCTAAAGTTGCACAACTTGTTTATAGACCAAAGAAAAGCCACTATTAACTCCACTGCAAAAGAAAAATCGGCCTAGATGGGCTAAAGAACATAGACAATGGACACCTCAACAATGGTGGGCAATACAATGGAGTGATGAGGGCCGATTCGAAGTTTGTGTTGGTGACAGTCGCAGTAGAGTTATTCGCGAAGAAATGAAGCATTCCGTGTTGACTGTCTGAAGAGAAAAGTGAAATTTCCAGCATCCATTATGGTCTGTGGCAGTATGTCATCAAAAGGAGTATGAAAACTTCATTACATTGATGGAAATGTGGATACAAACAAGTATTTGGCAATTTTAGACATCCGTTTCCGTTTAGACATTGTTTGACATCCGGCCAAGATTTTGTGTTTCAGCAAGATGGTGCAGCGTGCCATACCTCAAAAAAAGCTATAAAATGGATGGGGGAAAATAATGTACCACTTTTGAAATGGGTTTCTAGCAGTCCAGATCTGTCACCTATTGAAACTTTGTGGCACGAGATGAAAAAGGTTCTACGACAACATCCTGCTCGTACAATCACCGAACTGAGACAAAAGCTTCACGAAATATGGGACTGTTTTACACCAAATTTTTGCCCCAAAGAATTTCAGCCGTTATAAAAAATAAAGGTGATGTTACCAATGGTAATCTTTCAATTGTTGGTTTGTTAACTTCTTCTTTATTCGCACATTGCTTATTTGTTCAGATGTTCTATTAGTTATAGGTCTAAGTGATTTCAAATATGTAGAGTGTATTTAAAATGTTTTTGAGAAAGTAAATTGTTTTAGAAGTAAATATTTTCGTCGTGTTTAGTTTATAAAGACATATTTTGGTACAAATCTTGAAGTGGGCCAACTGAAGTGGGAAGGGGCTCGTAGCTACAGATTTTAACCTCCAAAGTATAGAGGGAAGAATTTCTGTATAATGGGGCGAAAAACTGACACTAGATTCGTGATCTATACACCAGAGTTATCCATGAGGTTTTGGTCGAAATCACAAGTATACAAGTATTTTGGAAAGTTTGCGATAATATGACATAGGTAGTATGTTTCACTATAAAACAAATATCAGGTGTCAAGTAATACTTCAGCGAGTTCCTCATAGAGCTTTGGAGAAGTATGGGCTGCAACGGTGTCGGGATGACTATTTTTAAGCATACTTAAACAGTCACGAAGGCACACTCTAAATAACCCGTAGCTACTATAAAAGTATTTGGGAGCGCTTCTTCATACGATATCTGAATTATTTGAGACTATAGTATTGAATCTACCAAGAGATTATAATCTCTTGCAGTAGTATAATAGTATAGTAGTATAAGTAACATAAAATGGTGACCTGTGAAACAGAGGCAGACGTAATTTGACCTGAAATGCAGGAAACGTCCGACATTTAAAACATTTTTGATGCAAACTGATTATCTAAGAATGGTGAGCACGGTCACATAAAAAAAAATGGATACGATCTGATTTACAATAATGATCGGAATGAAATGCGTATCTAGAACTAATAGTTGCAGTTTTTACTTACGATTTTTTTTGCACCAGAGACCAAAGTAGTCGTAGCATAAGGAGCTGGAGAAGTGTTCCCACCATCATTGTTTCCACTATTCCCTGAAGTATTCACTTCTGCATAATCGTCGGACTTCTCTGGATGCAAATTCGGGCTAGCGTATTCTTGGACTTGCATGCAGGAGTAATCCTTGTATTTTCCCATTATCGGATAGTACTTTTCTGAGCTGTAGTGCAGACTATCAGGACGAGAAAATTCTGGATGCAGGGGATTGGCTTGTAAGTTGATGCTTCCGTGGTACTCGGGAACAGAACCATTTGTCAAACTGAAAGTTGCATATTGTTAAGACCTCTTATACCGAAGCAGTGAAGCAGCATTGAAGAGCGTTAAGGACGAAAAGTGATAAAGCATATAGTGGGCATATTCTTCAACTAACCAGCGAGTTCAGATCTGATGGAAGGAGCAAATTCTCAGTTAATAATTTAATGTGTTTTCACCGTTTTATCATTAAAAAAATTAAATTAAAAAGATCTCGTAGTCTGTAAGTCACATGCAACAGTAGAAGTGTGTGTCAATACTCTAATTTAATTATTTAGGCTTGCATATTAAACTGAAATAAGCAAGTTGATGTAATTCTTAATAAATTGTCGAAGCACTGCTGTGTTATTTCTCAACTCCGCAATTTTGAAAGTGTTGAATTTCGCATCTGTACTACTTTTCGTATATCCTGTCGGCCCTTAGCTACTGCATAGTTTGCTTGGGGAATTGCTCTCGCATTAGTGAAATGTTTATAATACAGAAAAAAAGTATTGATAGCTTCTAAGCATTGGCGCTACCCGTGTAGAGAGCTCTTTAAACGATCGAACATCATGACAGTTCACTCTATTTATATCTACAGATGCTTTGTCTATATTAAAGAAAATTTAAGTTCTTTCTGCATGAATAGGAGATATATTCAATGTTATGAATTACACCAGACAGAAGATGTACTTATACCCCCACACAGACTGTCTCCAGCTTCAAAATGGTCCAATATTATGGCCATAAAGTGGTACAACAGGTTACCAAATTGTATAAAAACCATACCAAATGTCTCTCTTTTTAAGGCAAAGTAGGGACTATTATCTTGAATTACGCTTTCTATAGCATTGAGGAATATTTCAACTGTGTATTTGAGTGATGTTCTCTTTTGAATTCATTAACGTTTGTTTCACATTGGGATGATATGTCAGTCATTCTACGTGTTTGTTTTATATATACATAATATACCTGAAATTGACAATTCCGATACTTCTAATTATTGTGTGTCATCCGGAAATAAAGTTATTATTATTATTAAGTTAGTTTTTAGTGTTATTTTTTAAAAACGCGAGTGTTTGCAGATAATTGAAGCGTGGTATTCCCAAAGGGTCTAAGTGCCAATATTTCTGAATTTCATATTTTTCCTCCAAAAAGATCTACATGCTTTAATGCATGCATTAGAAAAGGGTCCAAGTACATATTCGACGAAAATGTATTTAATCTCCCCATTTGATAAATGGCGTTCTCGTACTCGGTCGTGACTTGTTCATTGAGAAGGGTCTAAGCGCCGAGTACAGGCGTAATATTATTACGTGCATTTAATAATAAACAATGAGTGAAAATCAAGTAAACAACCCAAAGCGACGTGCCCCAGGGTCTGAAAATAAAAAGAATGAAATGAAACGACTGAAATATAGTGGCCTGGTCGCCCCAGAACGGACACTTGCTCAGTTTGCGATCTTTACAAAAATAAAATAAGTTATGCACAAAATCAAACAGAAAAGGATGAGATGAAAGCGAAACTTGACCTACACCACAGAAAGGCGGAAAAGGCTAGACTAGAAATGGAAAAAGACGGTAATTTGTCACAAATCCCGCCGGCCAGCATTAGCATGATGTCTATAGATTTAGAGCAAGTTTTATTTTTGCCAACACTTACACATACGCAGATGTTTTATAGCAGACAGCTTTCATGCTATAATCTAGGAATACACATATCTGATACTGGAACTGCTCATATGTGTCTTTGGGACGAATCCATAACAGGTAGAGGAGCTAATGAAATTGGATCTGCCCTTTTAAAGTGCCTTAACTTAACAAAATGTTGCTTTTTTTGTTCATATATTTGGTCCATAATGGAAGGTTGAAAAAATTGAACAGAAATTTTTAGTTTCCGGGCATTCCTATTTGGCATGTGATAGGGACTTTGCGCAGATTGAGCGTCGTAAAAGAGTCACAAAAAACTACGTACCGGTTCATCTTGAAAAAATGATTAGGAGTGCACAACATAAAAATCCATTCAATGTCATTCGTATGAATAGAGAAGATTTTAAAAATCTTCAAGAGATTTCCGATAGCTTTTTAAACACGACCAAACTGAATATATCCAAAGCTTGTTGGATAGAAGTTTCTAAGAAAAATCCAACTTTAGTCAGAACAAAAACAACGTTTAACGAAATGGAAGAATGGACCTCTTGTAACGTTTTAAAACGAGGCAAAACTTTGAGTGACCTTAAAACAACACCGTTGCAACAGTTAGATTGCAAAAACCGCATATCTCAGGAAAAGGCCAAAAATTTAGAAGACATGTTAGATTACATACCACTTGCATATATCTCATGTTATACCGGTATCATCGAAAAAACCAAGCAAAACAATCCAGAGTAAACATTTTGAATGGAATTACTGGTTTCACATAGACCCTTTTACAATGACACGATGCATTAGACATAGGACCTTCTAAAAATTTAATATTTTATTTTGTGTTCCAAAATATATTTCGTTTATTTTTGCTACCTTTTTTCGTAAAATGTTAAATAACCTGATGTTTCAATCGAATAAATTTACTTTCATATTTTTTTGTTTTATTTGACATCGCTACATCACAAGAATATCTTATTTCTTCATTTTCTCGGAAGTAAAATTTTCGCACTTAGACCCTTTGGGAATATAACGCTTCAATTGTGGAGTTACGCAATTTCTGGACAAGATACTACTTGCATAGTTTGCTAAGGGTGGCACAAGTCTAATGAAGGTAGATCTTTCAACCAGCGAGTATTATTATTGTATGATGCAACGTCATCAAATGAGTCAAAGGGGCTGAACTATACTCTAGCGCATATCGCGAATATCTCATTTCTTACTTTAAAATGAAAGATTAGGATGTGACTTGTACGAAAATATCATTTTTTCGTACAAGCTCGTTTTTTCTTGTTTACACAAAAGAATGCTCAAAATTATATGAATATAAAATACACTGTATATTACTGTGATGCTGTTCATCGCAACAATGCAGTTTTGCATTATTCTAATGATGAAAATATAAGATTTTTTAGTAGTCATTTCTTCCCATCACTATACCACCATCACTATCATAATTTCTGCTTCTAGTTGCGATGTTGCCAAATCATGGATAGTAATATACCTTGATTTGGTTTGTCAAATTCTTACTTACAACTATGTACACAAATGTGCAATCGGCACAGGATTGTCATTATAATGCGATTTGGAGGTGTGGCCATGTTACTATAATAAATCTACCTCATGTCCTACGATAGCGTTAGCTAATACACTTTCTTGAAGAATGCCGTTTGCCTTTCAAAAAAATGCTTCGGTTATATTATATATCTATTAACTTTTTGTATGTACGTACTTGGAAAATTATTTAAAGTGAAGCTGATGTCACAAAATATACCTAATTAAATTAAATGACCGCTGGTGCCTTTTTTATTTTTTATGACACGCGAGCATTTTCCACTGTTTAAACGTGTACTGTTCAAAATTTCATCTAATTTTCAGTAAATATTGGGATAAATTCTTATAAAACAATCCTTTCACAATAATTAACAGTTTTATTTTGCAAATAACCTCATTTTTTTAATTACGTATTTCTCCCACAAAAAAGTACAACTTGGCAACAATGCACATCATTTATCGTATCTGTCAAGAAACGAACGCTATAAGATGCCCATTGAGAATTATTTGTGCTTTCAAATATTTCTTATAAACGCAAAAACTTTGATCTCATTGGGAATACGCGAAACAAAATGGTTAAGGAATTTCAAGAAGACATTAAGAATTGTCAACACAACACCTCTACACCGTTTACTAAGTAAATACCATTATTAACGGTTTGTATTTTCAATTTTTATTTTAGTTTATTACACGGCTAGTTTTGAACCTTTTCTTTTTTTGCAAAAAACAATGTTTTTTCTAGCTCCACAAAAAAAGAATTTTGGCCTTTATACGCTAAAGGTATGTATGTGGAACTGTCATTTCAGCTTATTATATGGCTAGTTTTTAACTTTTTCTTTGAAAAACCACCAGTTTCACATCTATTTTCCTTAGTACTATACAGTGTATGCTACTCGTATATTTAGAGCATCCTTTGGTACAAGAAGCAAAAAAATAGCGTATACATCAGTATTCTGTTCTAGAGTATTACCGCCAAAAATGCAACTTTAAGGTTCTATAAAATAGCAGGTAGAGGGTTCCTTAAAGAAAAAATGATATTTTCGTAAGGTTTCATTTTAAAATAAGAAATAAAATATTTGCGTATATTAAAAGTTATAACATATCGATAATCTTACCGATTGTGCAATATTAGATACTTTCCTGTTTATCACTTGTCAATTGCTGATGTAGGAATTTGAATGACTGCCCTACTTTTGTATTGTATAAAATTTACAAAGGAATTTTGGCAACAAAGAACGTAATGTAAACATATAAGCTTGTCTCCTCCTAATCTACGCTAATTGTTGGCTCTAACAGCTTTGTTACTCATTCATTTAATTTTTCTTATGGAAAAAGCAAATAGTTTTACTTTGACTAAGAACATATTATAAAAGGCACTTACGTTTTACTGTCCCTTCTGATACCAGCACAAGCTCTGGCATAGTCCGGCAACGGAGTGCTTCTATCGCCATTTGCAGTGTACTCAGGAACAGTGGATTTGTCTAACCATAAAGGCGGAGGTTGCGATGGAGCACCATCTCCCTTCAAAATATGCCCGTTTGTCCTTGGAGTTAAGCTCTTCTTTCCGTTAGCCAACTGGCGTCTACGTACTAGCATCATGGCTACAAATAGGAACACCATCACTGACACCATGGATACTAGGAGCGCCATGAACCACGTCTCGGTTATGAAGTCCCCTGAAGGATGGCGATCCAAAGGCCTGAAATGAAATCCGAAATAAGTCAAACAATTTTAAATCTATACCCTATTCGTAGTTCATTTACGCCCCGGCACAACAAAGATGCAGCGCGGCAGCGGCCTGAGCGTTGCAATAACTATTGGTCAACTACGAACAAGTGCACGATTCGACAGAATAGAACTCAGACTCGGGCTATCGCCGGCACGCCGATGTCGGCAGTTGCTGTTCATATTCTATGCATATGTTACCGGTATTCTATAAAGCACCTAGGTAACGTATAGAATACCTAAAACGTGTAGGTAATGTATGAAATATTATTTGTTTTATACTTTGCCTGGTCATTCTATACAATACCGAATGCGCAGTCGGTAATGTACGTCAAAGACGAGAACGAGGAACAGGTTTAGCTCAAGCGGAAGAGGTGGCTTCTAACAAAACAGCTACAAAGCAGCTACAAAACAAAATTGGAGAGGTGTGAATGGTGGTTCTTCGCTGTGCCTTCCCGCGCTAAAGGTTAAAATCCCATACCCAAACCGAAACAACTAAACGTAAGGTAGCAAATAAAAAGGATAATTCCATAAACTGGTGTTTGGGGGTCTAATATCCCAGAATCTGGAAGTTAATGAAACGACGCACAGTGTGGCGCCCAATGGACAAAATTACTCAAAAACATAATTTTTGACACTAGAATTCAGTTGCTTCTATTATACCATTGGATAGATAAATAGTCACTGCAACACGTAAGTATAGTACTTTAATCAAGTTGGCTGCGATTTACCTATTTTAGCAACTTTAAAGTTAGACATGCCGAGACCTGTCAAGAAGGCGAAAAATCTCTCTGTTTTATTGCTCGGGAAAGATATAAATTTTGTGTCGAAATATTTAAATATTTTAACTTTTCCAATATGGCTGGTAATGATGCTGGTAAGTACATTATATTGATGTGTAGATTTATTTAAAATATAATTATAATTAGATAATTTTTTAAGTTAAAGTGACTATTACCGATTTTTTTAATTTTTTTTAAACTTTTGACTTTGTTTAGAGTTTTACAAAAATCACCTTCCATCACCCTAAAAATTTTTTTATTTATTGTTTATCTGTCCATAGTAAGTTTTGATAAAAAGTTTAAATCACGTCATGCCACGTCTAAGGGAGATATAATTTTTTTTAGGACATGGTGCTATTGTCAGAAATAGAGATTTGATTGATGTGTGGATAGAAGCGCCGAGAGGAAACAGAAAACATGTGGTTTATGAAAAGATATTATCTCTTATTGATATAACAGATGAACCTTCCAAACATCTTAAAAGTAATATTATGAAATGCAGCCAGTTGTTTGGGTTGAAAATGGCAAATAAATGGCAGAAAGTAGGACAATCTCGGAATCGACTTTTACAAAATCAGGTATATTAGTTAGACAAGAGTATATATAGAATAAATAATGATTCTGAAGAAAACACATCTTCGGATGAGGAACAAGAACCTCCTTGTCGCTCAGTTGGACGGCCATGGGTGCCATTTGAAGAGGCATCGAAGAACACAAAACGAAGACGTGTAGCCGAACTAACCACAGACAGATCTGCAAATGAACTTCAATTTGCTGTAAATGTCGTTTCTGGAAGCAATCACAGTGAGGTCTCGCCACAAATTTTTAGTTTTAGTACAGCTGAAGCTTTAGCCCTTATGGTAGATTTGGATATATCCGTAAGAAAGTATTTGCTACTTAGGTCTGTTATTAATGGTAAGGCCCAGAACTGCCTTCCTAGTTATAAAGAATTGCAGAAAACAAAAAATGCACAATTTATTATTACTGAAATTTCTGCAGAAGTTGATTTGCAAGAACTTCTACAGAAAACAGCTGAAAGTATCCTTGAAATAATAAATTTTGAAGAGAGAGATTGCCGGATTAAAGTGATATGCAAGTGGGGATTTGATGGCAGTTCTGGGCATAGCCAATATAAGCAGAAATTTTCTGATTTAGAAAACACCGACGAATTTCTGTTTCTTGTAGCAATGACGCCACTCAGATTGATTGATATGGAAACGAATAAGGTATTGTGGAAAAATGAGAGCTCTTCATCTACTTTATATTGTAGGCCGATCAAGTTTTTATTTAAAAAGGAAAATGCTGATTTAGTGCGGAATACGGAAAAGGAAATAATAACAAATATTTAAAATTTGATTTCTATTGAGATTAAAACAAAAGAAGGGCACTCTTATATAATTGAAGTTGATGTGATGTTAATAATGTTGGACGGCAGTGTTGGAAATGTTCTATCAGAGACAAATTCAACTATGAAGTGCATCATTTGCGGAGCCACACCCAAGGACATGAACACGTTAGCAGGAATTAACCATCCTCCGAACGTAGACAATTACCGGTTTGGTTTGGCAACTTTACACTGCTGGATTCGTTTTTTTGAATGCTTACTCCATATTGGATACCGCCTGCCAATTAAATCTTGGCAGGTTCGTGGGCCTGAAAACAAAGCTATGATCGAAACAAACAAAAAACGAATCCAAGCAGAGTTCAGAGCCAAGCTGTCTCTAATAGTTGACAAACCAAAACACGGGTATGGCTCCTCAAATGATGGCAATACGGCCAGAATTTTTTTCCACAATCCACAAACAAGTTCAGATATCACAGGGGTTGACAGGGAATTAATCGAGAAATTTGCGATCATCTTAGGAGTGTTAGCTAGTGGTTGCGCTATTGATATGGAAAAGTTTGCGTCATTGCTGGAAGAAGCAAGAAATTTGTATATCCACCTTTGTAAGTGGTACAACATGCCAAACACGGTACATAAGGTCCTTTTTCATGGGTGTGAGATAATTGATGCATTTTGTTTGCCCATTGGAGAACTGTCGGAGGATGCGCTTGAGGCTCGCCATAAAGAGGTTAGGAAACATCGATTATCTCACACCAGAAAATGTTCAAGAACAGATACGAATAAGGAGCTCATGCGTGTTCTTTTACTTACTTCTGATCCTTTTATATCCTCAAAAAGAAAGGTGAGCTCAAAAAAATACAATAAATGCAACGAGGCAGTTCAGAACTATTTAAAAAAGCAAGAAAATGATGATTTAGGTATTGACTTAGGTACAATAACGAATGACACAGCACCGAGCAAGAAATCCTATTCCGATTAGAATGGGTATATTTGGTGTTATTTTTTTAATATAGTTTATATTATTATTTCATACATTACCTACTAAGTAATTGTTATTTTGTTAAATATATTTTTTTAAATAAAAACCTAAATATCAATTTCAAATTATACAGATTTATTTTTTATTTGAATTACTCTTATTATTTTTTCAAATATTTAGACAAATTTAATAAATCATATTGCGCCCGCCACAAGTTGGCTACATTATCTTTTAAATCATTCGGTAAAGATCTTGAAAAATAAAAGCGTGACTTTTTTGTCTCTCTTAAGAATGCTATAATAATATCCTACCTTATCCCAATTTATTCGAGATCATCAACTTAATATTTTGACTTTAAAAAAAAAAACGATTTATGCGGAATGCGTCCCGCCTGCTCCCCCACCCCTTCTTATTATTTTAAATAATTTTTGTCATACTTTAGAAAGCTACTTAAATAAGTAATCGTCCTGCGTTTACAGAATTCAAATAGGACCACTAGTTTTTAAAATATCGAATTTTGTCAATGATCCCTATAAAGGGTGCGACGTTCACACCACGATCTCAGCAGGAAAGTTAAAAGAAATATTTACTTTAATATAAATTTAGACCAACATCTATTTATTTTACACATTGTCGGTGGAACAGCACGTACTGTATACAATCCCTAGGAATTGTATTCATTACCTAGGTAAAGTAACAATATTCATAATATTTCATACATTGCATAATACGCCCAGGTATTCCATACACATTGCCTAGGTATTGTAAGGAATACCTGAATTATACAGATTACCGGTAACACATACATAGCGTGTATTTATACGATAGCATGTTGTCTACGGATACAGCCGATGAAACTGAGAATATTTCTCTCAATGCTTTCTTCAACCAGGATGTCTCTTCCCAGAAAACGTGACAAGAAGGCGCATTTGAAATGAAATGAGAATTCATGATATTGGAAGACGTGTGGCGGACAAAACAGGCTTATGTCCTAAGACAATTTTCAACATTATTAAAGAATATAAAAAACAAAAAATGGTCTCCACCACACAACAGGGTGCATTACACGAAGCTTTCGGATACAGTTGATAACTTTGATCGGAATATCATCAGACGCAAAGTCCATCAATTTTTTGAAAGACAGGAACTTCCCACCATAGACAAAGTATTACAGGAGGTTGATAGTGATGAAGACTTACCTACTTTCAGAAGCACCACGTTCTATGGTTTACTCAAAATACGGACCTGTACAATCTCGCTTTTGGGCATGTTGTGTTTTGTCTGGGTGTCAATGGACTACGAACGGTGTATAGCATGATTCTTATGATGTTTTAATATACCTACCTTCTAGTATTATCTGTCACCCTAGAGGCAGGTTCAAGCCTCAAGGTAGCCTCAGAGTTGAAAGGTCCGACACCAGCTTTAGTCATAGCTGCCACTTTGACGTAATATGACACTCCTGCTGTCAGGTTGTTTAGCATCAGGTTCGGTGTTTTGTTCACGTTTATCCCTTTGACGACATCCGTGCCATTGGTTCTCACTTCCACCCTATATCCTTGCAATTCTCCATTTAATCCGTAGGCTGGAGATCTCCATTTGAGAAACACCGTGGTAGAGTTGAGTAGCAAGGCTTCCATATGTGAGGGCGGTTCCCGAGGAACTGAAAATTAAACGTTGTAAGTTTACGCTTATACAGGGTGGCCTTTATGTAACTGACTGGTTTGTATCTTGAATCGTGAAATGAAATAAAATACGTCCATTGTTTCATCTTAATCTTTTATTGAAACAAAATCATATCTCTCATGCGTATACATACTCACGTTATAAACAAGCATGGAGGATTTATTTAAAGTCAAAATTGCTAGGTACGTTTTAAGACACATTTTATGATCAACAGCTTGGACTTACCATCTTCTAAGGTTTTTATTGTCTTGGAATTAGAAGGAAATCCTTCTACAGTCTTGAAGAAAGGCACCAAAAAGAACTGGTAGCTAGACCATTTTTCTAAATTGTTGACCGTAAAACTGGAAGATCCTCCTGTGTGTAATACCGTCAGCATGCTATAACCTAAAAGTTACAATAAAACCACAAATTATTCTTTAAAACTATAGTTTCAGTTGTAATGGCTGAGAAAAAATAATATTTCTCTATAAACTACACAAATGCCATCTATAGCCAAAATCGACGACTCTTAAACTCAAGCTGCCTGTTGGAATTGTAGAGGTATGTCAATTTGCACTGACAATCTAATCATCACTAGGACCGTTGAATGCCGTCGATTCTGGCGATATAGCAGATAATGGTCTACTTGCCATTGAAATCTAATAATGTGTGTTCATCTGATCAACATACAGCCAATCGTATACAGGGCTGTACCATGCTTAATGGGAATCATCTGCACAGTCTATAGATCTCTACGGCGAACACCGAACGAAAGCAGGTCAAAAGTATCCTCATTCAGATATCTAAGCCGTACTGACGATTGCCGATAAGCACGAAACAGCGCTTCACATGATTGGGCCTCGGTTGGTCGGATGGATGAAATATTAGTGAATCGGTATCAATATATAATAAAAAATCGTCCAATATTTGAAAACAATTTAGTTGTGTTCGACTGATTAACATTCTGTTTCAGGAGTTAATAATATACAACAGTTTCAATTCTGTGAATCAAGCGAAATTGTTAACGAAAAAGCATTTCATTTAATAACAGAACCCGCGAAATTATTGTATTTGCAAAAAATTAATCAGTACCTATGGATATTTTAGTTCTATATTTCAAAGCGAGCACGAATTTTCTATACATGGTGTTTATTTGAAAACTGGTTCATCAAAAACCACTGAATTAGAGAAAAAATGCCGAGACACATCAAAAGATTTATCAAGAGGGACAACTTTTTAAACAAATACTACTTCCTTAAAAATTTTAAATGACAACGAGTATCAAGTAACAGCTTGTTTGAAAGGTCTTTCGACGTCCTTAATTTGGACGTTTGATTTTTTTAAATCAGTCAATTCGTTTTCGAGAAAATTAGAAAAATATTTATTTATCTTAATTTAAAATATCACTTTTTATTTCAATAAGTCTATAAAATGTTGCCCGTTAGGGTTTGCCAAATATACAATTCATTTATAATTTGAAACGGAAACTACTAACATAAACAGCAATTCGAAAAATTAAACGTGGCAACAACCAAATAACAACACGAATTTTTTTCCGCATCCTTTTCATCCTTGGCGAACTGTATTAATTGTTATACCTGTTTAGTTATTTGTTGCTAAGGGAAAGAAATAATTTAATTTGTTGTTACCTTCGTGACAATCTTGGGATAGTGAAAATTAATTTATTGATTCAGATATTACTTCCCAAATGGTTTACACACAGCCGAAAGACATGTTTTTGTAAATGTCCGTCAGGAATTTGAACATCGCCTATATCATTGTTTGGACAATAACGGGCAACATTTTGAATATTTATTGAAATAAAAAGTGATAATTTCGTATATTTTTGTTTTTTATCTGTCAAATTTGGAGGTCAAATGTTTTTCTAATTATCTCGAAACCGAATCAACAATTTTAAAAAATCAAACGTTAAAATAAAGCACTTCGAAAGACCTTTCAAACAAGCTATTACTCGATACCCCTTGTCATTTAAAATTTTTAAGTGGACGACCCTGGGGGGCAGAGGCTGAAAGAGGGTAAAGTAGTTTTTGTTCAAAAAATGTATAACTTGACAAATCTTTTGACGTGTCTCAGCGTTTTCTCTTTTAATCAGTGTTTTTCGATGAATCCATGGTGGACGGATTTCAAGCGAACACCCTGTATAAAATATTACATGTATTCAAAGACTACTAACAAGACAAACGTAACCAGAAATATTCGATGTTTTTCTTGGCAAGTATTTGCGAGATTGAAAATTATTATTTGAGGAAATAAAGTAAAGCAAATAGCAATATAGCAATATAACAGATACCAACCTCTAGGATTACTGCTCTCCGCATTCAATGATACATAGTAAATGTACAGTCCTTCAACGTACGTAGAATCGGATATCATCCAGCTAACTTTGATTGCTGTGGAGGATAAAGCAATACCTTCGACCAGCTTCACCACATCTGTTGCCATCAAGTTGGCTCTGGCTTCACTCAAAACTGTCACTTCTGGGTTTCCCCAATTTCGAGTCGAATCGGGGCCCACGACAATGGGTTCAGATAGCTGAGATGGTGGTCCAATCTGCAAAAAGATCAATACATTGAATAGCTGAGAATGTGGCTTACAATGTACACGATGATTCAATGTCTATGAGAGAATACACCGCAAGCAAACACCTTAAGACAAAAATATGGCGAGAAAAATTTTAAAAATGGTATTTTTACTTACTCCATGTGCATTCTCAGCACGAACTAAGAATGTGTAGGGCACCCCTGCAGTCAAAAGGTGTTGTGTAAAAGAAGGTCCTGGAACTCTTCGGCCAACCACAGTCCACGTAGGAGTAACGTTCTCCTCCCGTCCAAACAGCTCTACCTGGTACCTAGAGGAAAAATGGAAATTGTATCCATCCATTATACAACAACAAAAGCTCATATTTGCATCAATGAGTGTAATGTATGGAGTTCCACAAGGACAATACTTGCGCCCCTTCTTTTTAATATACGTCGGCAACCCCTCAATCCGTCATTTTGAAATTTCGAGTGCTGATTTTTGTATCAAAAAAAAACTTACACACCTCAGCTTTGCGTTTTTGACCACCCTGTATGAGCAAAAGTTAAAATTCGAAAAAGTAATAAATAAGATAAAAGCTGAGGTGTGTGTGTGTGTGTTTTTTTTTATACAAAATTCAGCACTCCATATTTCAAAATGGCGGTCTGAGGGGTTGTCGGAGTGGGGGGTTTTTCTAGACAAAACACCTTATATCTCTCCTTGTATCAATTTTTTCTTTTGAATTGGTTTATCCAAATATGCAATAAAATTTGAGGCATTCCATTTTAAAAATCACAACTTTGATATGTAGGTCGAAATTGGGACACCCTGTATAATGGCAAATATTTTAGAAATGTGCCCTCAAATTTCATGTATAACATCTCATAAATAGATTTTCAAAAAAAGTATTTGTTTATGAGTAATATTCCGTCCACACATGGATGGGCTACCCTGTATATCAACTTATATAATCCATCAACAAAAAGTTAAAAAATAGGATTTGCAGATCTTCCATAAAGCTACAACTTGGACAAAATTAAAAGAAGAAATAAAGAAAGATTTAGTACAGATAACAGAGTGGTTTGATAATTAGTTGTTAACTATTTATTATAAAAAAAAATATACCCTTCACGTCTTACATAAATAAATTACCGCTATATAATCAGCTAAATATAAAGAAAACAAATCTCCAGAATGAATATGTATCGCGTTATTTAAGTCATAAATATATTGTTTTAGACTGTCATCTTCGTTGGGATGAACATATCCAATACATTAAAAAGAAACTTAGATTTCTATTATATAATTAATAATCTTATACGAAACATTAGTTAAATGATACATAACCTATTGAATTATTATCTGAAATCCACGAATAATAACCATCTAAATTTTTTATAAGTAATACAAAAACTATTTATGAAAGCAATTCACAATAAACTTTTACTCTAGTCCTCCAAATCACTGTTTATAGAATCAAAACTTTTAGATATAAAAAAATTATTTTGGTGGAAGGTTATACTAGAATTCCATAAAAACAAACATTCGACCATTTATAAAAATTATGAATATGATATTAGAAATAAAAATAATCAAATAATTATTACAACATCAAAGAAAGGAATAATACTAAAATCTTTTATATACTTAGGTCCAAAATTATATCGTAACTTACCAAAATATATTATAAAAAAACAAATATCATTATTAAAAATTGATGTATATGAGTGGCTTTTGAAAACTGGTATAAACATGATGTAATTTATAAGAAAGTGACACATATCTTCTCTTCTTTGTTAGTCTACGATTCAAAATTAATGTAGGTATTATATATAGATTATTCAGTTTATTATAACTGCTATGTCATATTATGTATATTGTGTCAATCCACAGACAAGAATATTTTCCTTTTGTGCATTTGTTCACAATGTGTAATTGATCTGAATAAATTATCATTATTACAAATACATACCCCAAGAGACTAGAAGACCCAATTTTGTTATTAGCCCCCCACGTGATGGTCACGCTTCCTTCAGATTGGTTGAGGGCATGTGGTCTACCAGGCGCACCAGGTAACATAGCTGCTTCTGGAGCTTTGAAGAAGTTGATGTTTGGATTCTTGGGATTCGCCACCAAAAGGTACCCAGTCCATACAGCTTTTCCGAACCGGGAAGAGGCAACGCAAGTGTATGGTCCGGAATCATCTTCCTGCAGGTCTGTTATGATGATTTTGTTTGGGACGGACATGTTCAGACGGGAAGATGACATCACTGGAACACCTAAGGAAGACATTGTGATATTCAGATAAAACAACAACAAGTATAATAACATAAAAAATCGTCTAATAATAAAATATTAACTCACTTGGTATGCAAAAAAATGGTACGAATAGTGAGAATAAATCTTGATAGAATTTATTCCTCTGTATTTACTTATTTTTATTTACAGTATATTCAGATAAGAGATAGACCGGATGTAAACAAAAGGTTCGGTTTGATTTTCACGCTAACGCCGCCGTCTCGACGTAAAACAGGAGCCCTCATTGGTCAATTCGCAATTAAATGCCTATGCCGAGCGGCAGAGCAGTCGTATCAAGGCAGAGTCACATTCAGGTTCAGACGTGTTACGTATGTCGTGTGCATCATTGCAATTTGATATTTCTTTGGACGTTTTCGTTTGTTATCTTATTAAGTTGTTGAGTTTGTCGTTGTTATTGTTATACCTTGTTATTGATTGTTATTGTTATCAACTGCTTGCGCAAAATGCCCAGTAGTACAGATACTGCCGATGAAGTTGTAAACTCCTGTAGTCCACCTAGGAAACGCTCTAAAAAATGACACCTGAGTGCAGAAATGAAAGAGGTCATTTTGAATATATATAAGATCGAGCGCGAGGAGAACGAGGCATCAACCATCAAAGAAATTGTTGTGAAGGTTTCTCACAAAGTTGGGGTGTGTCGCGCATCAGTGTTTAATGTGTTAAGACAATACAAAAAAAATCACACCTTTTCTGAGCCAATTACCAGTAAACATCGCAAAAGTATTGTTAAATCATTGGATGAAGCTGATAAGCATGCGATTAGGAGGAAAGTGCATGAATTCCTCTTTAGGAATGAAATACCTACTATAGATAAAGTACTGCAGGAGGTAAATGGAGATACAACGTTGCCAAATTTCAAACGATCAACTTTCCATGCGTTACTGAAGCATTTAAATTTCAAATGGAAAAAACGGGGTCGTAATAGTTTACTACTGGATAGAGAAGAAATTGTGCTATGGAGGAGGGATTATTTAATAAAAATTGGGAAATATAGAAATCAAAACAGGAAGATTTATTACCTTGATGAAACGTGGGTAAACGCAGGACTCACTACAAGTAAAGTATGGGTTGATGATTCTGTAACTTCATCCAGGAGGGCCTTTCTAGATGGACTGTCCACCGGATTAAAAAATCCAGCAGGTAAATACCAGTAATAGACAACAATCGGATGTTTTTCAAACCTTGGGAACAAGGTTCTAAACATCAATTCCAGGGGGCAGATAAAACATATTACAAGTAACAAAACTTTTATAACTTTCGATAAAATGCGTGGATGTTTTATTGTCATTTTCATTTGTTAGAACTTTTTTAAGCCATGTTTTTATGTGTTTTCGATATTTCAATAATTTTTTAATATAATCTTAAAATATGTCGAATATTATAAACTTAAAAAAAGTTACTAAGTTTTATATTGTGTACCGTTCCTAATATTTCATATCATTTTAATTCATACTGTAAGCTTTATAAAGTTATAATTTGTTAATATTAATATTTGTGCGTATTTCAGGTTCCTGATCATTCATTTTTTAAAGGTTTATAACTTTAAATTAAATTGTGAAGCGCTGAGTAATCATACGACGTTCAATATTCTTTCTTTCAATATGACTAAATAATCCCAATTATAGCAATCTGATACTCATGTCTCAATGTTTTTTCGCTGAATGTGATGAAAACATTTGAAAAAGGTTCGCTTATTGAAATAAATCTACACCAGTTAGTACTTCGATTTCCAGGTAAAGAGAAAAGGCTCATTATCTGCCATATTGGCAGTGAGGATGGATTTGTTGTTGGTCTGTGGTGCTTTGAGTCTAAGAAAACTGGAGATTACCACGAGGAAATGAATGGCGAATCGTTTGAACAGTGGTTTTCAAAAAATTTACCGAACTTAGAGGAAAACGCAGTAATTGTGTTGCATAATGCGCCTTATCATTCTCGAAGAATGGAGAAGGTCCCAACAATGGCTTCAAGGAAAGTTGATGTTCAAAATTGGCTCCGCTCGAAAAATATCAACTTTGAAGAAGCAATGCTGAAAGTACAATTATTAAGAATTGTCAAGGATCACAAGGCGGAATATCAAAAATACGCCATTGACGAAATGGCAGCAAGTCAAAATAAAACTGTGCTCCGTTTACCTCCATACCATTGCGAGCTCAATCCCATTGAGCTCATATGGGCAGAGGTTAAAAATTATATAGCTAAGCACAATACAACTTTTAAATTTTGTGACCTCAAAGGACTTTTCAAAGAAGCACTAGAATTAATAACAGCGCAAGAATGGGAAAACTGTATTAAGCACATGAAAGACAAAGTTGAAAAGAGAATGTGGGAACTGGACAATATTTTAGAGGAACAAGTCGAGCCATTCATTATTGACGTTGGTGCTTCAGGCAGTAGCGATGATGAAAGCTCATCAAGCTCATCTTTCCAATAAAAGATGTCGTTCATCAAATTCGGTAAGTTATAAGTAATTATAAAGCTACTGTATTTTTTAATTAATTATTGACATTTTTGAACCCATTTTGGCAAAACCTATTCAAGAATCTACTTTCTGACAATGTTCAACCATGCACATTTTTTTACGTTTTGAACGTTTTAATTTGGTTACATATTTACCTAGAAATCAAAAAATATACTAATCAATATTCTAAAAGCAATTTTAAGAGATATACGATTATTTTTAATTTAGGATAATTCAAACGCCATTTTGAGATTATATTCGACTGTATTTCACCAAACATCAGGCGGCATCCGAAGCTGGAAATCGAAGCGAAAATTTTGAAACTCTTATGTATATTTACATCATTATATATTTCTTACCCCACCCCCACATGATCCTATATCCACCACCAATCGTATACACATCGAATTGTGCTAATTTACTACAAAGTTGCGCAAAGCAGCATCTACTATCTAAAATATGTACTGCGGGACTCTTAATACGTCCCTGCCGAATGTTACAGTGTTCGATGATCACGTGGTCTTGTTTATGTCCGGTCTATCTCTTATCTGAATATACTGTAGTTGGAGAACTGTCGACTCACCTCCCTTATACCATGATATAAAAGGTGTGGGGTTGCCTTGGGCTTCACAAGAAATCGAAGCTACTGATTTAATAGGCAGCGTTTGATTCACAGGTCCCGCGACTATGACAGGAGGAGGTCTGTCTTCTTTTGAAGTCACAGTCAATCGAGTTCTGGTTGAAGCAGATCCGGCACTGTTCACTGCTGAACATATCAGTACCGTACCAGAATTCTGTATCTGCAAAACGAAAAGGCAATCAAAATCTTCAAAGGTTTTGGAATAATTCGAATAAAAGCTGTCTTTACGGAAGTATACAGAGCCCATCCTTTACACTGTGTATAATATTTGTGAAAATAAGAATGTTTCCCACTAACAGATTCCCAAATGCCTTAACCTAGATATTCGGTTTTGAAAAATTCTGCGATATAACTCCGTCTCTAGCAAATGCTTATATGAAAAGATTAGACGCGTGTTAATATTCAACTTTGTTTGAGATTCAACTAAACCAGAGTTCCCCAAACTTTTTTGTGTCGTAGACCCCTTGCCATGTTTTTCCGTGTTGCGTAGACCCCCTACTTACCTGATATTGATTTGCTGTGAATTTCTAACTGTAGTGAAGTTTAGTGTTAAAAACTTAAAGTAAAAACACATGTTAATTTATACATTTATTAATTGAATTTAAATTAAAATTGCTCAAAATAAAATTTTGTATCTGTTATGTAAAATATACGTAACATTGAATAAACAGGTGTCTGACCAATGAGTGGGAATAAGTGCCCGCATTGAAAAAAAAATAAGAGGGATAAAATTAAAAAAAAGTGAAAAATAATAAAAAAAAAGTTTTTCACTTAAAATAGTACAATAAGCGAGTTCGTTTATTAATTATAACATACTTGTATGTTTTGTAATAATTTCACTACTAGTTTGACTAAGTTCCGCTTCTTATACGTTTAAGTTATCTAAAAATAGGCAAAAAGTTAACGAATTTTAGTGTGTACCTATCCTTGAATGCGGGCATTTATTGGTCAGACACCAATAAACATAAAATAAACTGTAAATAAAATAACATAAGCAATAAGTCAATATTTTTAGTGAGAAGGATGAACCTGATGCCTTAATAATAAATTATCAACATTTGGCGTCAATTTTGTAAGGGTTAATCTTAAATCTCGTCGGCTAATGATGTCCAGTCTGTTTCTTTTTTTCGTTAGGAGATTGGTAACAACGCTGAACCGCCTTTCCACTAGGTATGACGATGGAAAGGAAATTTCCTCCCTATATTCCATAATACGGGATAAGTAACGGGTATGTTGTTTTGCAGCCAGAATTGCTGATATCCGTTTTTAAACTGAACCTTGAGTTCTTCGTTTGTACTTAGTTCAGTCAGTTCCTCTTGTATTATGAAATTCGTTTCTTCTATGTCACTATATGGATTAATTATCGACGGTGATATTACCATAGTCAAAATATCCTCAAACCTAGATTCAAAATCTGAATAGAGGGCATTTAACTGTTTAACGTAAGTTGAAACGTCGTCTTCCTGGCAGCTTGTCTGTGACAAATTGGGGAACTGAGAAAATTCGCCCCGTCCAATATTTTGCTTCATTAGTTTAACTCTGGCAAGAAACGCTGACAAGATGGACTTTGTTTTAATCAAATTTAAACTGTCGCCTTGTAATTGCAAATTAACCATATTAAATTTTGTAAACAAATCTGTTAAATAGGCGATGTCTGTTTTCCTCTTCATTAAATTTTCTTTTAAAATATTATCTTTAGTATCCAGAAATTCTAAAATAGTCTCAAAAAGTCCAAAAAATCTTGTCACACATAATCCTTTCGACAGCCGGCGTACTTCAGTGTAAAGGAGTAATTGATGAAAGTGTTGGTCATTTTCTTCACACAACTGCGCAAATGACCGCGTATTCCACGCGTTGCTTCGGATGCGGTTTACTGCATCAATGACTAAATGAGATTCATGCAATCCAGCACTCAAATTTTTAGCAACTAAATGTTGTCGATGGATGACGCAATGTATTGCTAACA